TGTGGAAGGCAAGGAGGGAGGCTAAAGTAGTCAGATGATTAGGGTTGGCGAGGAGGCTGACAAGGACGGTGGGTGGGAAATGAGAAGCAACCGGGACAGACAGAATCAGGGGTAACAGAGAAACAAAACGAAATTACATACGAGAATGTAACTGTAGAACAGTCCATTGTAGACAGTGCCCACAAAACTAGAGGCAGCCGGAAATAGGAATATTGGTTTTGGCTTGACAAGCACTGGATAGAGGGTTCTCATTAGACACTTGTTGGGCTGAAAAATACCACCGGGCATGGATGCCATTTGTCAGGTAAATTTGCAGTTGCAATTAGTTTGAAATGTTGAAACTAGCAATCAACCAAGTTCTGAAAATACAGTAAATTTCCTTGTAGCTCAGGTTCTAAAGATAGTGCAGATAAGCCCTCGGCAGATTCACAACACAGAGGACTTGTTTTTAAGGATCAGCAACGGTTTCCCTTTTTTATTGTTGAATTGTGGCCAAATGCTTCCAGTGTTATTTGCCCCATTCTTCATTCTTTTAGACTGTCTCCTTCTAGCACGTTCTTTGAAACCCAACCCAACTGTGCTCAGGTGTTCCTCTTTATGATCAAGTGCTTTCAGAACCTAACTTATTTTTAAAAGACTGGATAATTTTTTGTCTTGAACAGATTAAAACACACAAAGAAAACAACAATGACAACAAAGAAAGCAAATGATTTTGTTGTTTTGAATTTTAATAGGTATCTTGGTGGATATATAACCACTGGTATAAACTAATGGTTATAAGTAAGGGCTCTGGAATCCAACAAAATGGATCTAGTCCGTCTCTGCCACTTATTAGCTATATAACCATGATCAAGTCATTTAAATTCTCTAAATTTCATTTTTCTCCACTGGGAAAGAAGCAAATAATGATAATTGTACCTACCTCACAGGACTAAATGGTGTGTCATAAAGTTCTCAAAATCTGGCAGCTGCCATTATTACTACCCAAGTGTGAACACCAGACCATGAAGTCCAGCTATGAAGCAGGTCGATGAGCTTTTATTCACATGGCACATGCGGGGTAACTAATCACAAGTGCTTTATGCAGAAGGCAGGGATCATTCATGCATTGTCTCACATTGGACTTCTGGAGACAGCATGGTTGGAGAGGTGACTGATGAAGACTTAGAAAGGAAGGAAGCAGTGTTGTTTTTTGCCTCAATGACCCTTTTCCTCTAGGGTCAGCCATCATTCCAAGAAGGATGCATTATGAGAACAATTCATCTCAGATCATATTCATTATGCAACTAGCCCCGCTGGGCACTGTACTTCCACAGTGGAAGGGAATCTAGTGCCCAACAACTCCTGACCTTTATTACGTGCTACTGTGCATACTGGTGTTGGACAAGATGAGACGGAAAAAGATGAGAGTGGGAGAAAAAAGAAGCAGCTTGGGAGAGTAGGAGGGCTTCTCTCTACCTGGCTCAAGGACAGAGAAAATTTATAAGACAGTCTCCAAATTAATTATGGTTTTCCTGATAAAGTGGAGGCAAATACCAAAGCAGAGATATTTCTGCATCTTTCCCCCTGATCGTGTGCCTGGAAGTAGCTCCAGTTCAGGCTCATGCCTCCTCCAGCATTCTACCAGACCATTCACCACTGTCAGTCTCTATTAGTCACGCTTGGTGTCTTTCAAATTGTCCTGTAAAAGTTTCCTTTCAAAACTGTCAACAGAACAGCAGACACTGAGAACATGCTGACACTCCTAAGTCTCAATTTAGAGCTCTAGAATTCTTAGTTTATTAATTCCTTCTGACATGGCCCAGATGTCTCTTGAGTAATTAGTAACAGAACAGGGTTAATGTAGCTGCCTCATGGTGATGCGGATTCATTATGACTGATTACTCACTTACAAAAATTAAGCAAGTCTAATTGAGTTTCAACCCACAAGGATAGCACCAGAATCGTAGCCCATAGGCTTCTGCACCTGTTCTGTCTTCATCATATTTAAAAGGCTACTAGGTACAATATGGTAAAAATGACTGGCTTTTATGTATTTTTATCCATTTGATAAGAAGGTGAGGTTTACAGATAATAGATAGAGCCCACTCTTCTTGGGAAAAGATGAGAGAAGCCAGATAGATTGGGATAATTTACATATCTTCAGTCCCTCAAATATGAAGAGTCCTGCAGATACCAGGTTACCCAAGTTCAGGGTACAGAGCTGAAGCAATGAATGAATGGAGTGTGCCTTCACTAATTAGATAACTAGATAAATTAAAGGGTGTTGGCTAAGAAATTCTGTCAGATCTTCTTTAAAATGTCTTATCTAATGTTCTGTTCTCTATCTCCCAATTGCTATCAGCCAGATGCTTGTTAGCTCGTATTTTAACCACTGGAGCAGCCTCTGACGTAGGCTCAAACTGTTCAGTTTAATTCAACTAGTGATTCTGGAGAACCAGGAATAGGGCTGGCCTCCACGGCTTCCATGCTAGGCCTTCAATCATTTCTTTCTGCTCAGTCTACACAGAGACCCAGGAAATTGTCTTTAATTAATTAATTAATTAATTATTCAACGTTTTTATTGACTTGAGAGAGAGGGAGAAATGTCAATCGGTTACCTCCTGTATGAACTCCACTGGAGATAGAACCTGAAACCTAGGTATGTGCCCTTAACGGAAATTGAACCCGCAAACTTTTAGTGTATGGGCCAAAGCTCCAACCAACTGAGCCACCTGGCCAGGGCCCAGGAAATATCTTTAAAGGCTAGTTTTCACTTCCTTGCCCCAAAACCTCTCAGGTTTTCCAGTGCCACAGTAATACAATCTAAATTCTTGTTTGTATGCCTTACCTGGTGAACCCTCTCTCAATACATCCTGGGCTGCGTCCCACCCTGGCTCAGCCACCCTGTCACTGACCCCGACATTGCCCCTTCTGAGTCTTTATCCAGGGTCCTCTCTCCTGAAGTGCTCTCCCCTCATTCTCTATGGATGCTTTAAAGGGCAGCTCAAGCTTCAGCCTTCTCTGGTAACCTTGCAGCAGATTGCATGCATTGAGCTACAAGGATCACTCTTGACAGTGGTCACTTTGTCGCTCTACTTTTTATATATATATTTGATGCTTGAATAACACAGGTTTGAACTGCGTGGGTCCATTATATGCAGATTTTCCCAAGAAATAACTGTACTGTTTTTGATTGGCAGTTGAGAATCCATGGACGTGGAGGGCTGACTATATGCATTGTTCTACATCATTTTACATATGGGACTTGAGCATCCTTAGATTTTGGCATCCACAAGGGTCCTGGAACCAATCCCCCCAGATACTGAGGGACAACTCAAGTTTTTAGAGAGTCAAAAGTTAAATGTGGATTTTCAACTGCACGGGGGGTTGACACTTCCTCACCTAAGCGTTGTTCAAGGGTCCACTGTATATATAAATAAGCAACTGTAATTCTAGAGACAAACTAGGGTAGACTCAAACATGCTTATAAAGAAAAATGTATACTGTTGAGGACATCTGCTGTCGTGTTTTTCACATGGAGAACAGGAAAAGCCCCTAAGACATCAGTGAAGTAAATCCTGACCTACAGCAAGCAGCCAACCAAATCATGTGCATCTTCACTAACATGAGAATAAGTTCACAGGATACCACTGAGTACGCAAAGCAGGTGACACAAGACTGTACAGGAGGACTTTAGATAGATAGATAGATGATAGATAGATAGATGATAGATAGATAGATAGATAGATAGATAGATAGATAGATAGATAGATAGATAGATAGATGATAGATAGACAGACAGACAGGGGTGCTCTCTTAGAGGGAGGCTTATGAAAGCATCTTCTCGTTTGTGCTTTTCTATGCATTTAAATGTTGGGGCACTGAACTAAAGTATTATCAATGTGTTGAACAGTTCCTTTAGGTGGAAATTTGCTCTTTTAAACCACGAACATCTGCAAGGAGGGACGCATACATTGATGAAGCAGTTTCACACAACCCCAAGTGTAAGCTGGACTCTAATGAAACTCAGCACCACGTGAGCGACATCCCATTATCCTGGAACAATATGCACTGAACTAGGAGTCCGGACACACAGAGTCTAATCGCGGCTCTACAGCAGAACTCCCGCTAGCCCTGGACATGGCGCCTACTTTCTTGAACCTCAGTGTTTCTATTATAAAATAAGTAAATATTCTTCCCAGCTTCTATCCCCACCCATCTTACAAAAATGTACAAAGGTCAATAGAAACAATAAGAATACCAAAGACGTTATAAAGGGCAGCCGGTCAGTGTCAGGTGGGGTACCATCACGGCTGAGAAGCAACCCTCTGAGATCTTCAGTCTCTGATACCCCGCCAGCTTGAATCCAAGTGGCACCCAATTCACGTGCTAATGTGCGGGGAAGGGCAACTTACTAGACGCCCGGTTTTGTAACCTTGGGTACATTAGTTAAGTAACACTTTAAAAAAGACCATACACGAATCATTTTAGGACAACATTCCTAAGCTTACTTTCTTTAAAAAGTATTTCTCACAATACTTTACTGATTATTGTCTTTGCTTTTTAAATTTTTTTTTATCAGAACAGCACAGGTACAAATTTTAATAGAAGAAATATGCTGGGCTTCATAAACAACTTAAAGACAAAATTTTAAAGCTTTCACAAACTCATTATGAAGGGATCAAGGAACTGCTCTTTATCTCTGCAAAGATTTTGACATTGAACCTAATTCACCCAGATGGGCGAATGATCTTGAATTAGTCACATAGATGCCAATGCACATATTTACAGATACACATGACCGAAGGCCCTTGGCACATGACTGGTAGGTGTATGTTGAATATTTCTTGACACAAACACACAAACCCAGGCATGACTACCAAGACACACACGGAAACACCCACACGTCCCACAGAGCAGCCTCGCCAAGGAGGCGCGTCAGGCTTCAGATGAAAAGAAAGAGATTTTCCCTTGAAGGGAAGGGGGGGCCGCGCGCCCCCAGAGACGTCTTCACTCACCTGTTAAGTGGTTGGCAATCCTGGCAGTGGGTTTGGGAGGCAGGGCGGGGGGCTGCTTGAGGAGGGGCAGCTGCTTCACTGGGGTCTCCTCATGGTCTCCAGAGAAAGCAGCAGGTTTTTTGGGGGGCAGTAGCAGGACTGGTTTGGCTGAAGGATCTTGGGACAGGAGGACTCCAGACTCACTGGCAGAGGGACTCTCTTCAGACACTGAGGGGACAACCACAGGACACACAGGAGACATTTTACACAAATGCAGTGCAGGCGGGCGGCCGGAGCACACAGGACAGGGACGCGGGCGGGGACACAGCGGCGCAGCGGCTCTGCCAGGCGGTCACGTAGGTGCGGAGTTAGAGAGCACGCCAGAAACCCAGTAAAGGGCCGCGGGTGGCGCGGGGCACAGGAGGGAGGCAGAGGTGGGAAAGGGGGAGGCGGGAGGACCAAGGAGGGGACAAAGGAAGAAGGCACGTTCTCAAAACTCTCCGAAGCTTCGTCACTTCAGCCTCGGCGTTTATAATCTAAAACGTGACAAGGCACAGATGGCAGGTGTAATGGATCAGGGATGAAGAGCCCCCTCGGACACCAAGCGCCAGCACCTTCCTTTGGGCCTGTTTGCCCCTAGCTAGGGAGGAAGACAGGGCCGATTCTTGTTTTTGCCCGTTGGCTCTCGTGTCCTTGCTCCCAGGTGTGGGTCACCAGGTAATAAAGACATCCTAGAGGCTGACATCAGGTGGGACCCCCCCTGTTCTGGAGCCCTCTGAGCTGGTGCAGCCTCCAGGGGGCGCCCTGCCTCTTGCAGGCCCCTCCCTGCCCTGCGGCTCCTATAAACAGGGACAAAGTGAAGGATGCCGGAGTCAGCACCTTTCTGTCTTCCCCCTTCCTCTCTCCCCCGCCTCGCCAGAATGACGGGGTTCTAGTTTCGATTCGCCCCATTTCTCTTTGCTCTGCACTGGGGCTGATTCTTCCTGTTCCTCGTGGGGGACCCCGACTGGCTCCAGGGAAGAGCTGTCTCGGGCAGCGGCACAGGATTCCAGGCAGGTGACAGACTGAAACTGTGACTTCACTGGCATGGCAGGTCTCACTGTGCCAGTCAAAGCCATCCGATTCAGTGTTACAGGGAAGAGTGGATAAAAAAAAATTCCCTGCTTTAGCTGGGAAAGCCCCCGCAGCTCAGCGGATGGGGGGCATGCAGCTCAGCTGGCCCTCCTTCCTCCCATCGCTGCCACAACGAGATGCCAGAAATGACTCCTCTCCGCCCCTTCTTCCTCTCCGATCTGGGAAGCGGTGTTCCCTGCAGCACCAAAGCCTTGCAAATAGCCCTCATGAGTGCTAAATTCTCCCCCTGTCTCAAGGGACACTGTGATTATCCGTGTGGGACATCCTGGGGAGCAATGACTCACCCAGTCCCAAAGTGAAGCCTGGGACCTGACCTCGTGAGACACCATCTCCGCCATCCTCCCAGCTGAGCTCTGCTCATGCAGACTGTGCGCCTGGCGTGGAGAAAGGACATGGCCTTTCGACCCACACCAGATATTCCGAGAGGTCCCTTCCCCCAGGATTGTCTCCTGACAACAGGACCAGTGCTTGCCGGCTGTAGGGAGGGCCCCATCTTCAGGCTAACGAGAACCATTCTGCAAACCTCCTGAGGGAATGAGTACTGGCCACTCAGAGGGCTTTGGACCAGAGAGGGAATGACAGTTAGATGGCATCAAAATCATCTGCCAGCAGGATACAAACCAGCACATTGTCAACAATTTAAGGGCCAATGAACACATTGATTGTATACAGTAAGTTAATACAATTTGCTAAATTGATACAACCATTAGCTGGTACACTGGGACTAGGATTAAAGGGCATGCCAGGGCCGTTCAAACAGGTGAAGTAGATAGGTACCATAGAGAAGTGTAAGATTCTTTAGCTTGATCTTAACAGAAATGCGTGTTAGAAAACAAAACAGTGACATTTGAATTAATCAATGTTACAAAAACAAGATATACCTTTTTAAAGATATTAAAGGTAGAAAAATATTTTTAACACTATAGAACAATAATTGTAAATATACTCCCAATTTTTACACTATGTACTAGCTGGTTAATTTCAGCCTTATTTCCAGGAGAGTCTTATGCTCAGGATGGTTCACAATGGAACCCCCAGTCGAGGTCAGACCAAAGATCCCTAACGACACATGCTTGGACCTGTGCTACAACTCTACCAGGGCATTACCTGTCCCATCCATGATGTCTGAAGGTTGGAGCACCTCGTATGAGCAGGGGTCTCTGGGCATCGGAACTGGCTCCATTTCGGACAGGGCAGGCAGAGATAGCTGGCTGGCGCTCAGGGACTGTCCATTTTCCAGGGAGTCATCCTCATTGGATATGGAGAGCTCCCCGTCTGTCCGAGAGAGAGAGGAGAGTGTGGAGTTAGACAACGCTGCCTCCCAGGGACGGGGGACACCTGTGGCCTGCTGAGTTAGATGGTTTTGAGCAAACTTCATCAAGATCTACACTTGTTCTTTTGCTTTTAACACATTTATTTTATTTTTAGAGATGTGGCATCTAACCACCAGGCCAACAGTTTCCAATGATCATTAGAACATTTTGCCTGTTTTCTCTCCACCATTCTAACCATAATCTACCATATTTTGTCTATCTTTATTTTTTAATGAAAGTGAATAAAAATTGATTTTTCTTCATAATTTTTGAAAACTTGGAAGGATTGAGCAGGCCTTAGAGATTGGAACACCAGGATTAGAAATTCCTAGGGAATAAAGGGCTTCGTATCATTCAACAAGTGCCAGGAGCGTGGTCCTCTAAGGTCCTAGGAAAAACTCATCCAGTCTTCTCTCTGCCTCTGCCCAAATCCCAGCTGAAAGGCTGCAGCAGCCAAGAATGCTGGGAAGTGCCTGAATTCTCCAGTGCTCCCCAGTGATCACCGGAAACATGGGCAGCCAGACTCAGATCTGGCCTAAAGCTCAGCGAAACGAGGGGCAGCTAGTTAACACCACTGCAGGACCAAAGGCTCCTGCACAATGGCCATTTGCCAAATCAAAACCCGCCCAGTGTCATTTCATCCCAGCACAGGGGAGTCCTAGATTACTAGACATTAAAGTCAAATTAATTTTTAAAGGACTGAAAGCTGTTCCAGTAAAATGAGTAAATATCCAGACGAAAGGCTCTTAGGTGACACTCCGTTAGAAACACAGAAACTAGCAATTACCTGCCTTCCATCTGGAAGGATGATTCACTGTAGCCAATGAAACAGTGAAATGACTCCGAGGTTAAACTTGGATAAATAATCCTTTCCTTTGGCTCTGCTCCTCCCAAGGCTTCAATTTTATCCACAATGATATGGGGTGACAGAGGATCCTCTGCTAGCTCCCCTCCCCCCAGTTAGAATCGGCCCAATGAAATGTATGTTCAACAGACTAACCCACGACCTAACAGGCCTTAGAGAGCACATGGTTCAAGGACATACGATATTTGACCTGAATATTCGTTCGATAAACAGAGAAAACATAACGAACAGCAAAATGTCATCTGAGGCAGGTAATATGAAGCATGGCCACTCGAAGAGGGTTGTCTGTTTTCTTTCTTTTTTCACTTGGTCTTTCTGTTGTGCCAAGTGGCAGGAGTTGTTATTATAACTGTGACTAGCAATATGATGACTGCTCCTCACTAACAGAAGAGCAGTGCAGACTCCAAAGCTAGCGCCATGGAGAGCACACAGCTGAACTGAGGGTCTTTAGGATGGGAAGGACCATCCTAGCTGCATCAACACCCCATACTGTATGGTCCCCATGCCTCTTAACATGCTTTAATTTAGCATGTTCACACCGATGTGGGGAGCAGCTCTGCTCAAAGTTCCCGGCTGCTGCCATTTGGTTTAATACATCTCTCAGAAACCACTTTGAGCTTTGATGTCCAAGTGTAATGAATGAAAGTCCTGGACAAGATGACCAGAGGAGGAGGGGTTTCAGTGCTGTTGCCAGGTTCTGCTTCTTTGGGGCAATGACTGCTGCTTGTTTGAACAGTTATAAGTACCACAGAAGCAATGCTGGGAAGAAAGATACAGCTGCTGTTGGGTTACTGTAGACTCTGTGAACCTTGGTTTCACCAAGGCAGCCAGCTTAGTGCCAGAGGCTTTGCTAGTAATGGAGTGGCAATATCACTCATTCCTCTTGGGTCTATTAACTAAAAAAAATTAGCTCCTTATGAATTAAAAGTACCTTTGCTAAGTCAGAGGACCCAAACCTTGTGAGAGGAAACAACCTTGGGAATTACACTGTCATAACATCTAAAAACACATTTCCATTGAAAAAAGTAAAAACAGGAGAAAAAAAGAAGAAATAAGAAACTGATCATATCATCACCCTAACAGATACAGTTTCTTTTTCTGTACATATGTATTTTTTCAATTGAGTTTAGAGAGGGAGGAAGAGAGAGAGAAACATCGATGTGAGAGAGATACATCGAGTGGTTGTCTCCCATATGTGCCTGGACCAGGGGTCAAAACCACAACCTAGGTATGTGTCCTGACCAGGAATCAAACCCACGACCTCCTGGTGCATGGGACGACAAACTGATTGAGCCACACTGGCCAGGGCCTCTGTACATATTTTCTGCATATTTTTCATAGTTGCAATCTTATCAAATTTTGTGTCTTTTTTTTTTTACTATTACAGCATTATAATTTGCAAAATTATCATCTTGATTATATTAGATGAATATACTGAGGTTTATCTAGCTATCTCCTTATGACTGTTCACAAAGGGATTTCAAATGTTTTATGCTATTATGAAAAAAGAGAGTTCTGCTGACCAGTATAAAATCTCTTCTGCAATTAGAATTCTCCCCTTTAGAAGAGATCCCAATAAATGAAATTTATGTGTATTAATAATTTAATGTCTAGTGACACATACCTGGATCTTCTGAAATTGTCTTTCTAAAGGGTTTTTTCTATTTACACAATAGCAGTGCACAGATCACACTAATTTCTTAGCTTTTGGCCATTTCTTCAACATTAACATTAATAATCATGTTTCATCTATCTATGTATCTACCTAGCTATGTATCTATCTATCTACATATATACTACACATATATACATATATATAGTAGAAATCACTAAAACCATTCAATATGTACAAAAATTCATTAATATCATCTGTGACCAAGACTGGTAGTGACAGAAGTAAAAAATATTTTATTTGGGTTCATATAATATAGGCATTGAATGATGCTGTTATTTAAAAATTCTTATGACGTTTTTGAACATACATAATGTAATGGCCCTCATACACTCATCTTCTAGCCAGTGATTCCAAGTTCGATTACCTTGAAGCCCATTAAGGGTCTGCATGTCCCTTTACTATTTACAGCACCCTTACCAGCATCATTTTAGTAGCACTATTGGAAAAACATTCTTTTCCCAGAAGAATTTAACTTTCCTGATTGAGTCTTCTGGATTATTTGTACCTTTATCTATCTAGATCACCACCATCTCTTGTACACGATCTTCTAAAATTAACAGTAATGATGATTTTCAAGAGGGCACACAATGACCTCCAACCATAAGATGTGTCCCACCAGAATTAGTAAAGCACGAACAGGAGGAAGGGAGATGCAGGGAAGAGAACAGATGGGTTGGGGCAGTGGTTCTCAAACTTTAGCGGGGGTCACAATTCCCTGGGGGGCAGTTAAGGCACAGATTGCTAGTCCCCACTCCCAGAGTTTCTGACCCGTAAGTTTGAGGTGGGGCGAAAAGTGTGCATGTCTAGCAAAGTCTTAGGTGATGCTAAAGTTGCCTTTGCTGGCCAGGGTCCTNTCTTAGGTGATGCTAAAGCTGCCTTTGCTGGCCAGGGTCCCACACTTTGAGAACCATTAGGTGCGCAAGGAGGAGAACCAGGATTGCCTGCTCATAGTGAGGTCTAGGGCAGGAAATGCTGTTCATCTGGCCAACATGGAACAGCCATGGTTGGTTTCAACCTCAGAGAGGACAGGAAAGCAGGAGGTAGCGTTGCCTACCTATGGATCACGAACATGAGCTTGTCACAAACAACAATGCGACTGGAGAGAGCGGTTGGGCAGAGTGGAGAAGTAAAATGTGAGTCAGATGCAGACAGATCTAACAAGGTAAAATCAGGTCACAGAGGTGGCAGAAAAGAGACTGCAGAAGTGGATGGAAGATAGAGAACTGGCCACGGACGTTGTGCCCGCCTGAGCCTCCGCGTCTTGTGTGGCACAGCAAACGAAGACGTTGGTCCAGTCAAGTCAATGCCAAGTCAAGGAGAATGTAGGCAGAGGTGAGAGTGAATCAGTCCACGCAGCTGTTCAACACCCGTCGAGAGCCTGTAATCACCACATGCATCTCCCACCAGAGACTGCCGGCCCTCACAATGCTCTCGCCACGAAGGCAGACGTTTTCTATTAGCTCCTCATACGTGTAGAAACTGGGGACCAGTCTGCTGCCTCCAAAGCACTAGAGCTTCGCCCCGCCCCGCCCCCCATAAGCCAGGCAGGCACTGCGCTAAATGCTAAGGAGAAAGCAGACACGCCTCGGGGAGTAGAGCGGGACAGGGTGTATGGAAGAAACGTGGAAAAACAGACAGACAAAAACAAGTGTGAGCCAGCTGGCGCGAATGGGAAAAAGAGGCCGGAGGGAGAAGGGAAGCCCTGAGACGTGGATGGAAAAAAATAAGGGGCGAAGGAAGACAGAAGTCATGTGCTCAGACTAGATGGAGGCCACATATTAGAGGAGGATCTTGTCTTGCAGTGAATTTTTAAATATTCTAGAAGTGTGATTAATGCAAAAGCTGTGTCCCAAAAGATTGGCCTAAAAGATGCATGTGAATTTTTGGTGTTTGTTTGCTCGCTTGGGAATTGCTTCCATCTATAACTGGGTGTCACCTCTGTAACTATACTCCCTGCGGTTTTAAAAAATTATTGTTTTGTTATTGTTGCTTGTTTTGCTTTAGGAATACTCTCTTAGGGTGACGGGCATAAACTTCTGATCAATTAAATTTTCTCAAAGCTTAAGGTAACTAAAGTTTTTTTTTGTTTCTTTTCAATAGATGGATGCCACCATAAAGAATGGGCAACTAGAATTCCTTCAGGTTCTTATGTAATAACAGTTTCTACTTTTTAGAAGTTGTATGAAAGACGGACATTTTGTTCTGAGTGGGGTCAGGTTTATGATACTTTGAAGGTAAAGGTAAAAAGTATTATTTTTAATTTTGAAAAACAAAAGTACTATACTATAAACATAAGCTCACCAATGAATCTGAATTTTTACAATATGCATTATGATTTACATTAAAAAAACCCATATTTAAAAATGTATTTCTAGTTGGACAAGAACTCCATAGTTAATAAATAATAGTTGAATGTGAGTAT